CACTGTTTGGACTCCATAAAACCTAGAGACGACCAAAGGGCACAAAGGAAAGGAGCAAACTAGATGTCCTCTGGTGCTGAGGGAGAGCCAGTGGCATGGCTTAGCTGTAGCTGTGCTGCTCTGGCTTTGGAAACACCCTGTGCAGGAAGGCTGCTGCAGACCAGCAGAGCATGGCTGAGTCGGGGCCCATGAATCCCAAAGGTAAAGGCAGGAAGGACAGTACATCAACATCAGCAAGCAATGGACTTGCCAATATCAATACGGTCTTCAATACTCTGTTTCTGCCTCTCCAACACACTCTATTTCTTCATTTTTCACTTTGGGAGAACCCAGCTATGAAATGCAGCAATGACCAATACTTTGGCCTATTTGTTTAGCACAGGAGGGAGCAGCAGCACCACTCGCCCTCTCCCCTGCGCACAGCATGCTAATGCTGCAACTGCAAAGCTGCAAAACTCCTGCTGCGCTTTGCTGCCAGTACCCTTCTCCATCCATCAGCATCGTAAATAATCATAGCAGCTCCTGCTGTCTGACTCATAATTTGTATCTTGTTTCTAATTGTATTATGTGTAGCTGGTCCACCAGATCCTATCTGAGGAAGCATACAAATAATTTATCTGTATTCCTCCATTCTCCCCATATGTACTTCCAGACAAGCCATATTAATACTGGTCTTTGTCTATTTCTAATCTCATCTCCATCTCATATACCTAGTATCTTATTTAGCTGCATTTTCAGCTGCCATCTGAAATTAATACGTCACCTGGCATATTCAATCTCTTCCCATATTCTAAACTCTTGATTACATACACTTCAGAGACTAAGGATGAACTATAGGCATTCAATCAGGTTGACTTTGAGGACTAATACTTTTGGGTCAAAAAAGATCATCAGTTTTGTCTTACAAAAAGTAACACCTGATACGTTACAGAAGGCAGAAATATCTACAATATTCTTGGTGGTACATTGTATCACTGAAGCACAGCAATTTTGTGATTTTGCATGCCAGAGTCAAATGAGGTGATTTAATGAGATGTCACTCAAAACTGATTGATACCTGCAGCCAGAAACCATGTTGAACAGCACTCCTACCTGCTGGGCCACAGTGACAAGCTGCTTGCATCCAGTGTCATCAGTGCCGCAGCCCCAGCCACCGTGAAGCTCCAGGAGGGCTCCGACAGTGGGAATGCCACTAGGTCCTGGGGGCCGTGGCCAGGGACTCTCCCATTCCCTGAGGGTTTCTCCCACGGCCACCCTACAGCCACACTAATCCATGGGTCAGGGATGGGACCAATCACCATGGCCACTGTGGTCCCAGCCCTCGCTGAGGTCTGTGCAAACTTCTGTTGGTGAAAACCAACCCCACCAGTTACCAACCTGCTCCCTGCCCAAACAGCCCTTCACCACCATGGCAGGGAGGGTGACAGCTCCTCCTGAGGGCTCTCAGCCAGCACTCACACCCACGCAGACCTCCACAACCCAGCATCCCTCCCCACACACAACATGCCGACACGCCACCTCTTCTCCGTGCTCACTTTTGGCCTCAAGTGTCACATTTGCTTCCCAACTCTACTATATTCATATCTTAATAAATGAAGGAGTCTCTGCTGTGCAGTTTAACAGGGAAAATACTTCTAACACCACCAGTAACTCAAACTTGCCTTTGCAATCATTCATTTTTCCTCCAGTTTCCAGAGTAGGGTGGTGTGGACTGTGCACAGCAAACAGCTGTCAAACATAACACTGCCTCCTGCTCATGCAGTGTCTGCTGAGATTTTGATTTCTGCACATTTTCGTGAAACTACTCCATGAATATTTTCTGCAAAACCAATTTATTCATAAACTGTTTCAAATAATCAGAGAGAGTGGAAAATCCTCATTTAAAACATGACCTGTTTGATTGGGGGCATGTTCACACAGTACTTTCTGTTGCAGAGGAACAGCTGGTGGGACAGAGTCTGCATCACATTCCTGGCTCAGTCACGCACATCTCGGTTACTGAACTTGTGTATTCCTCAACATTATTTTAACAAGGAAACTTTTTTTTTCAGGGACCTGCTGTGAAAAGCAAATGCAAGACTGCTCAGCCTGAGTCTGTGCAAAGGCAACCCAAAGGGACCATGCCAGAATAGTCTCAAACAGTGCTTGTGCCTCAGATCTGGGAAATGCATCCTAGCAGTACTCTCCAGCTGCCTGGGGAAACATACTGCCTTGTGCTTGGTGTGGCAACGTGGAGAAATTTTACAGGTACGATATTATGGAAACCTTTGGATTTTCATGCCTGCCCAGGGAGGTGAGAGGGGCTGACAAGGAAGGGCGTTTGGGTGCATGGTGTTTGCTCTGTTGTCAAGTGCACATTCACTCTGCCCAAATGTTTTCATCCTTCACAATCACCTTTCCCCTGCTAAGCACTGCACTTTCCAAGAAGTAAATCTCAGGTTTATTGAACGTGTACATCATCTACTGCTGTTGCGATATGAGCTGGGGCCACCACGCTCAGTCCCAAAGCAAGTAGTGGAGGCCAGATGAGATTGCTCCTGTAACCCCCTCACCTTTTTCCTTTTTTGAGGCTTCCCAAGTTAGTCTTCTGCACAAGGCTGCTGTCTATTGCTACAGGAGTGGGATGGAGGCCAAGGAGGCTACGACCTAATATTTTAGTCTGAACAGATAGATGGAAGAGATGGATTATTATACAGGAAAGCACTCTCTGTGCATGCAATTATCTGATAACTATCTATTTTGGGAGATGAATCTCAAAAGGAGGAACATGCATAATTCTCACCTTGTTTGCACTGGGAAGCTGCATTATCCCTTTAAAAATGGAATAAAATGCATGAAAAATGATACAGAAAGCAGCAGAACAGCATGGTGTTTTAACTCATGCTGAGCTCAGGAGAGAGAGGGGGAAGGGGTCAGTCCTGCTGGTCATGCCAGCATGTGAGATTTGGTAAAAACCATTCATGCTGATTTAAGACTAATCAGGTCTGTGAACAGCTGGACTAATTCAGCCTCTTCCCGTGCCTCATGGCTAGATTCCTTCATGTACATAAGAAGCAAAATGCAAGTGAAACCTCTGCATCCACCTTTCTCTTGTGGGTCCCAGTGCCTAACACACAGGCGGAGGTCAGGCTGCAGCCTCATGTTCCAGGGAAGGTGCTGCTGGGGCCTCTCGGAGCCACTCGCCCCATCTTTGCTTGGGAAATCTGCAGCAACTTAACACCTTTGAGGTGGTTGCCCCTCTGCCATGCTTGACCAATGATACTGGGTCTGAACTAGTATGGCAAGTTTTATTGAAATGGTATTTAAGGTATCTGAGTTGCAATAATATGGTTCCTATTAAAGCAGGACCTTCTGTCAAGCAATTTACCCAATCTAACCCACCTTTATCCAAGTCTCACTGGTTACCTTCTGTGTTAAATCACTTTAAAAACATGGGTCAAAGTTGTTTCATAGCTTTACTCTCTCAGTAATGTGCAACATGAACATAATAGTGTTATTAAGAAGTCAAAAATAACTTAACACAATAGCTATATAAGATTCTCCAATGGTCAAACTTTCAGCAATTACTTTTTGTTAAGTTCAGAAAATTAGCATATTTGTTAATAAAATTAATTTAAAAAGTAGCTTTTCAAAATAAAAGCAATGCTTTAAATAAATATAGTCTTTTTTATAACCATAAAACAGTCCTGTTAAAGGTTAACACAAATACTACACTCAAGCACAGTACTTAAACAATTGAAATGAATGTTGTGAGCATACATGAGCTAGACACTGGGAGGAACGAGGATGCATTGCTTCATGACATTCTCCATCTCCTTTCTACAGCAGCACAAAGAGGCATCCAATTCTCGGAACTACCCTAAGCATATGACATGCGCCAGGACATTGGTAACTGCTGCACAAAAACACTGGTACCCTGTTTTTACCCCAAGCTATTTCTCTACACTACATCTGTAGCAGTTCTGCATCCTTGTTTCAAATTTCTAGCACAACATGACTCTTAACCACGACAACGTAAGGCCAAATGCTGCTTGCTCCATCCAACTGACTTTGACATCTGAGCAGAAGGCAGCAAGCAAGATCTGATCTCCTGCAGTAAAGCTCAGTTTGTAAAATCTGTAAAACCTTCCTTCCAATACTGGCACCACTGGGTGTTTCAGAACAGCCTGAAGCTCACCTTCAGAGTTCATGATCACCAAAGGATATTCACAGCTTTCCTTGTAACTATGGGGCTGACTAGCTATGTTCATTACTACACGAGTTAATGCCTATCAGCAAAGACTGTAGCTGTCCTGAACATCTACAAGGTAGCAATGATTTACTGGAATGAAATAAATCAGCTAGTTCTTATGTTAGTATGTGCTATCTGGGTATATCCTGAAGAGCAGTTTGCTAAAATTCAGTGAAATATACACCTCAAATCTAACCATAATCTATCCAGCAACTCTGACCATTTAATATCTCATTTACTTGAATTGTTCATTAAAAATCACATTCAGGATCTGCAGCAAACCACTGTTTTTTCCCCTCACAAAAACAGCTGTCGGTGACATTTGTTGTTGTATTTTGTTTGCTTGTTTAAACAACATAACAGTAATGTAACCTGTAAGTTAAATGATAAAAGCTGGAGAGTAAAATAAAGCACAAAACTGATACAAGTATTCTCTATTTGTTTTGATCTTCAGAATGAACAGGCCTATTCAAAGATGACAAAGGAACAAATTAGCAAATGGCTAATGTAATGCATGAAAAGGCATCTATAGCATTTGCATGTGCACGCACACATACATGCACTTGCATACAGACAGCTTGGCTTCATTAGAAATCTCACTACCAGAGTTTAACTTAGATAAATTAACTGCATTAAAATACTGACATTGTGAGGATTTTAATACTATCAACACCCTGTAGAGGGAATTCCTGTGTGAATTTTTAAATGCTTTAAAAAAATAGTTTAGAGTTATTGAAATCTGTGACAAATGTGACAGCTCTGCCTCCCCTCACAGTCTCCCGTTCTCATCTCCGGTATCCTTCTCCTGTATTGCCTCCAGGCACCGTTTTGACTTGGCGTCCGCGTGCCCACTTCCAGTTTTGCTCAGTCCACACGACAGGCATGCCAGCTGGATCTGCTTCATGTTCTCCAGGGCTTCGTTCTTGGCATTCTTCAGGAGATCTCCTTGGCCCTGAGGATGCACAAACAGACACGCAGGAGAGAGTCAGGGATCGCACACATCGCTCAGGACCAAAAGCAGTAATACTGCTCTTGTGTCTCTGCCATATTGTTTGGTGCCATGGAACAGGATCCAGGTCCTGTCTCAAATCCCCTCTGCCCCCTGTGAACGCCAGCCCCCGGGGAAGGGACCAAAGCCCCTTCTGCAGCCTGTTACCCAGCTCAGCAGGCAGGGTGAGCGAGACAGACACCAGACTACCCCCACTGCCAGGTCACCCCTTGGGAGGTAATTTGGGCCTGCCCTTAAGGAGCCCGCGGGGGAAGGCATTTCCTCTTCCACAGTCAACAGTGCGGATCTGCCAGGGACAGGGCAGCGATGGCACATGGTACCCCTCTCCCCATGCCACTGCTCCGTCCTTGTGCCCTGGCATCAGATCCCACATGGCAATGGCTGCCCTGGCTGCATATCGCCAGCCAGAGGTCCCCTACGAGCTGTGAGACCCCTGGTTACTCACCCCTCCTTGCACCCAGACTTGCTACCCAGCCTTGTGCCTCCCTTTAGCAGAGGCAGGCCAAGCTGCATGCCTGTATGAAACACAACATCCTGTAGCACTACAGTGAATCCATCTGAACCGTTTTGTTTGGGACCTTTGAGCAGGCAAATGCGAATGAGAGACTTCATGAGCAAAGGCCTGCTTCTGTATCTTCTTGGAGCGTGTAAAGGTGAGGTGACTAACAGGGTGTCAATCCAATTTGTAACTATCAGGAAAAATATGTTACATGAAATTTGTATTAAGGAGTTGGTGTTCAGAAATGCCAAAATGAATATTTATGCAATATTGATATCTCAAGTGCTGCAAAGCAACAAGATCCTGGTGCTAAAGGATACAAATAAATAAAAGCCTGGAGATGCATCTGGTTATTAAAATTCAGTATCACTAAGAACTTCGGCAGCTCTTCTCCTAATGTCACCTGAAGTACAGCTTAAAGTATACCACCCGCTGCAGTTGGTTATACGCATATTCAGATGGAATACCTCCACTGACTGAAATGTCACATTTGCATCCCTGCAACCTAACCTGACCTCCTGTGAACCACAGATGCCTCACAGGGTCTCAGAGGAGACAACAGATACTACAGCAGGACCTGGGGGTACACTGGAGGGGCAAATGATCACCGACCTTCCTTCAGTTTTCAAAACAAACCAGATGTGTCAGAGGAGTCACAGTGTGACACCTTGCAGCAGTGGGAGCATCTCTGCTCTCCCTTTCCCCAGAGCTAAGAGGAAGGATTCATCCCACACTGATGAGCACAGTCCCCTTTTCGCCAGCGCCTGGCACTAGACTTGCACCGCCTGAGCTCCTGTAAACAATGAAGAAACAATGGTGGCTTGAAAGTTCCGCTGCACTGGTAAACACCACGTGGGACATCACGTCAGCCAGGGATGGCAGCCCGCGCCCGAGAATGTGATTGCCTCATCTCCTGGTGACATGAATTTGTCCCTGCTGAAGAATGCAAATTGCTACCCAGATGCTGGGAATCCAACTCAATGTAAGAATAACAAAAAGCACTGGGACTGCGCGAGTGGCTCTGTGCTATTTGGTATGAAGCTCTTTTGAAGAGATTTGTATCTCAGCAGCATGACAGTTATGGGAATACACAAATAGCTTGGGATCCAGTGAGCACGGTTTGAAAAAACAAAAGAAGAATAATTTACGCAGCACATACTTCACATAGCTGTGATCTTGCTTTTAGGACAGAGGTTGAGCTTATGGTTAAAGGTGGTAGGCAGGAATCCAGGAGCCCTGTAGCTACCTCAAGCACCCGGCACACCCAGGTCTCCTTGCCTGTCTGCGAATGGCACAGGAATTGTGCCAGTGCCGTAGCGGCAGGGATAACACACTGAGGCATAACCAAAGAGATCTAAGAGCAGTATCATTAATGACATGATAATGTTATCAAAAAAGGTGGTAAATTCTTTCACTACACAAATGCAGTTTTGAATAATTTGTTTTTAGGATGAAACAGACCCAGCTGCAGCAGGGTTGCTGCTTTTTCTTATCATGCATATGGGACTGAAGGCACCAAAGCCTGCACCAGCATGCAGACAAAAATCGGTGTGACGATGCTTTGCAGCCTTAACTTCTCTAAGTCAAAACCTGGCGCTATGTATTCATGCACAAGAACAGAAAAATCCTCTTAGCACAAGAAACAACTCAAAATAGACATCCTGACAAGGACAACTAAGCCCAAAACCTGGGAAAGCCAGTGCAACAGAGAGGTAAAATGATGACAACGAAGGCCCAGTACCCTGAAGCACCCTGGCATCCTCTTAGGGTGTCTGGGGGAAGATTTCTAGGAGCTTGTCCTCTGCTGTGGCATGACCAGCATCTCCCCCGGCAGCAGGAACAATCACCCATGCTGTGCACAGAGGAGGAGGAGGAGGTTTTCTGTCCTGCAGCAGCACAAGATGGATACAGCTCCATAAGCTGACACAAAGACCTTCAACTGAGTCTCTGTTGCCTTCTTCACATCCTCTTCCTCCTCAGGGAGCCTTTCTCAGGGTGGCCCACAAACAGTGTTTTTGCCTAAGGACTCTCTGAGACACTCATTTAAGGGAAGCTACTTAGGATTTGATACACCCCCGCCTGGAGGATGACAGCCTGAGCCCACCCTGCCAAGGCTTGTATCTGAAGCCCCCAGAAGCCAAGGGACTTCACACCCCGTGTAAGGGTGCCGAGCCACTTGTTCTCCCTTATGCATATTCTGATTTCACATTTAAGTAACCAGGCAATTCAGATTACAGGTTTCATCTGAGGCAATGCACAACATGTCTAAGTGTTCCAAGAAGAAAAACACTCCTCCTGAGCATACTTCAAATATTTTGAAGATGTTCTTATTTTACAGCGATCTAAAAACAGAAATGGACTTATCAAAATAGTGCAATTCCATTCATGTGCAGACCAACTGATTTATGTCTTAGTCTCCTTGTATTTTTTTTATTTTCAAACAGCTGGTTCATTTGAGCAAGCTGAAGGAGCAAAAATTATTTTGAATCATCTGTCACAAGAAAATTAACGACAAACCAGCCCCCTCTGACAGAGCTGTCATAATTCTAGAGACACCATAAAAAAATAATCTGTGGGCATGCTCCGTTTGAAAAGCCATCTGTTTGCTTTGAAAAACTGGCTGCAAGCATAATCCATTTGAGAAAAATGTCAGCAAAATTGTGTCAACACCTAAACGAACTAAATACTGGATAGAAGCTGGAGTAAACTTTAAAAGTATGATTGCGTTGAAACAACCTTCATATGTCAGTCATTGTGATCATCTCTGTGCACAGAACAACCCTCTTTGCCCTTACAAAGCATCTCTCTTCCAGACAAAGAGAGATCACGACGGTCCACTTCGGCATCTATCCATCTATCTCCCTTCTGCTATTGATATCATCAGCCTTCCTGAAAATAAATACTTGTGAGAAAGGTTAAAGTCAGCATTTGGCAGGACACTAAATTAAGCCAGAAGAGATTGATCGAGTGTTCTACTTGAAAAACTGATCAAGAGGACCATTTTTATTTAGAGTTAGGGAACATTAAATGTCAGGTTTCCTACACCTAGCTACAACTAACTGCGGAGCTTCAGCACCAATTAACATTACAGTACAAATAATGCTGCTTGTCAAGCAAATGTAAGATTATAAGCCTTTACCTTGACAGGGTAATACTATCTAGAAAACAGGGATAATCTGACATGGCTTTAAATATTGCACAGTTTTAGTGACAACCTATGAAAGGCTTTAAGAAGTGTAGGTAGTTCTAGATAGACACTGGTAACGGCCACAGATTGGACAGATTCTGTATGCTGTTCTTTGGGAGTTTTTTTGTTTGGTTTGTTTTTTTCCCCAAATCAAACTCCTAAGTTTTTATGAGTCAAGACAACAACTCATTATACCCAACAGCAACCCAGACTCTGAGCTTGGAGAAATGAGAGGAAGAGGTGGGTTAGGTAAGCGGCACCATTTTGCGTTCGACTCCATAATTTTATTTTTTTTTCAATACTTGCATGTATATTTCTACATAAATATAAATATATGGGCAGGGGTATGTACATTAATAAATAACTGCTATTCTATTCCTATGCCTTCTAGGAAACACCCTGCAACATGTAGACACATCATGACACTGCTAGTTCTGGGTACCCAGCAGTACTGGGGACTGTGGCTACTACACAGGCAGGACCCAAAGCCCCCGTGCTGGCAGCTGCCTGCACCAGCATCAGGGGGCTGCAGGAGGACCCTGGAAAATCCCATGTTGAGCGATAGGGCCATCCCGGCATTCAAAACTGGTTGTGTTTTCAGGGAGGCCAAAAGAGCAGCTGCGAAGGCCATTTTGTAATCTGCTGCTTGCTAAAGCAGACGGTTGCTTATCTCCTGGCAGACACGTTCTCTGACAGCACATTATGGGAGCTTTCCTCTCTGCTCCTCGAGGGCTGAGTAAACAAACAATAAATATCAGAGGTCTTACCGCCCATGTCACATCGCGCTCATGATATTACTGTTATTTTTTAACTTTTTCTCAAAGAAACAAGCTCTTACATTATTATTTAATCACAAAGTAAAATCTCCACCCCGGAGGCTGCCAGTGGTTGGCTGAAAAAGCCAGACACGGCCAAATAAAACAACCGCAAGCACTGCATCGCTCCACATTTCAGATGTAACATGGGCAAGGTAACGACACTGATAATCAGTGCCGAGGGACTCGGAAAGCAGAAATGCTGGTGAGCTGCTGTGATATTCAGATACTCTGTGTGGAGGTGGCATTGACCGCAAGGGGTGCATTTTCAAAGTGTCAGAGTGGGACTGTAATTGTGTTTAATATTAATAAGGAGGCACACAATTAAAAGATCACACATGGCTTTCAAAATGTAATCCTGAGGAGGAAATCATTAATGAAATGATTAGACTAGCATGTTAAATGCATTATGAAAGGCAGATATATTTCCATGACTCTTTCA